GGGGACTCAAACTGGGTGTCGGGACCCCTCAGGGGATTGCGAGGTTATTACATGGGGGGTCGTGAGCGATCAGCCTCCACCCCAGACCCCGCTTTGCCTCCAGCATTTATAATGGTGTTAAATATATTAAAAAAGTGGTTTTAATGTATGGGGGGGGGTCACACTCAGAGGTTTGCTGTGTGAAAGGGGTCTTCAATACAAAAGTTTGAGAACCACTGCCCTAGGCCTTCTTGACCTCCCTCAGACTCGCTATGCCTGTTAAGGTCAATATACTTTCTATCATGAGTCACTCCTCTCATCTATAGTACATAATAAACTAGTATGTGTCTGGGTTTCCCCTGTATGGAAAGTAATACCTGTGCAAGTGTTTGTTTGAATACTTATTGCTATACATAGTTGAATGCACATGAGTTTTGGAACCTGGAACCTTCTGGTACCTGCATTCTACAGAAGCATGAATTTTTCATGACTTGCCATTAATGACCACATAAGAAAAATATAAAATTAGTGCATCCCTTTTTGAAATGATATCGAAAGTCTGAGCCTAATGCCAGAGAGTAAGAACCAGGGAGGAAGGGAATGATATAAACAGAATCTCTTCCATGCCGTAGCTCTCAGTAGACTTTTTCCCCATGGATGTGACACTGATTCAATTTTCTACATAAATTACATGCTCCTTGATCTGCTCAGTACAATATTCTTCCTGTGTAGCCCACATAGAAACCTTACAACTGCTATTCAGTTGATAGCTTTTTCTCCTGTTAACCCTTGATGTAGAACACACAAAAGATTAACTTCACCCTAGTTACAGAGTGCCCCAACCCAAAGCATATGCGCCACTTCAGCTTCCTTTGAGGGACTCATAAGAAACATATGGTGATATTTACTCCCATACAGAAGGCCAGCACAAAGTTCATGCATCACTTAAGTGGTTTGCTAAGCAGAGTGTGACTATACAGAGATCAGGAAATTTCCACTGAACTTCTGCAATCATCCTGCGAAACTTTATTTCAGTTATTTGGGGTTTGTAAATGTATTGATCAACAAAATACAAGGAAGAAACAGATCAAAGACCTTTTGATCTAAAATATTTATTTGTACTGGACCAAAAAGGTGTCGCATTACTTTTATAACAAACAATATTTAATGAATGCATCATCTCTTCCTAATGCGAGCTGTACATTGTTTCTTATTAAAAATAATGTAGCAAAAAGAAACTAACTCAGGGCTTTGGTTTACTTTATTTTTCAATACGAAGTAAAAAGTGGAGCAGTCACAAGTGATCTGAGATTAAACCCCACAGCTCTACTCAACCTAAATTTCAAGAATCCTTTAAAAAAAACTTTTACACAGTATTGTTAAATCCCATATAAAATAATTTACTATTTTAAATATTGTTTAAATATTTTATCTTTCTTTAAAACTATTTAATTTATGGTTGGAATTTATTTTTGGCATAATGACAATTTATTTTTTAAATATTAAAAAGCTTCATATTCAATATAAAAACAGACAAAGTAATGTCCATTGTCCAATAATATTGTACATGATATCAGCGCTCTAGAGTGAGCTTTTTAATGTGTCTGCCAGACAAGTCACTTGAGAGAACTCACTCACCACAGTGTAAGATCATAACAGATCACTATCAACATGTATCTTCTATATATTATATATACATAGAGTATATAGTATTTAATTTCCAACTTGATGCGTAGGGTTTTAAGTTTACTTCCCCCAGCATTTAGATCAGACTATCTTTTAGCACACATACATATAATACCTACAGTTTGGAAAGAAAATGTTACCTATTTTGCTCAGCCCAGCAGTCTGAAAATTTACAACTGTAAGCAGTATCTTCACATAACAAAATTAAAATTCACGGTTGTAATTTCTGGCAGCTGTCATCTTGCTATAAAATGGCAATATTTGTCTAAAAGGCTGTCTCCACTCTAGGAAAATTAGGACTCATAATTCATCATTGGTGCATTTTCATGTTGGTGATGATGGAGGCTGTAGTGTAGACAGGATGCTGGCGTCTTACCACCAAGTTGTCAAGCCCTATTCTTAATAGTGTGAAACATCAGTAGTAGAACACCTGAAATTTAGATATACTACGGCCTCCACCATTGCTACCTCTGGTAGAGCTGCCCCATAGGAAAACTATAGGTCCCACTTTTCCAAGTGTACACACAGTATGGTAACATAGGAGCTCAACGTCAAATTGTAATCCACTTTCCATCTGGCTACACAACTACTTCAACAATGAACTTTTGAGTGTAAATAGGAAACATTTTGTTTAACACTAAATTCCATTTGATGGGGAGCAGTGTAGTCTGACAAAACATTTCTACCACCATGTTACATGGTACCAAAAATTATGTCCATATCCAGCCAGATGGTCACATTAACAACGCTTTCTAAGCCAACAAGTTTAGAAATAATTTTTTTTCGAGGGAATGGATAGCTCAGAGTATTGGTAAAGATCTTTGAGAACTACAAGTAGGTGAGCAAATCTCAAGAATATATTCCATCGATATTCACTCAACTAAACAATTGAATTTGATTCATCCTGTACTTGCACTCACTTTCGGGGAATATGATAACAGGTGAATTGGCTACTAGGAATTTTTGCTGACTCAGCACATTTTAAGAGCTTGTTTAATAAATATCTCTAAAGACATTTTCAACTTGAACACAAGTATTTGCACAAGAAAGTAGCCCGGCAGAGCATAACTCCTAGAATCAGGGAATTATACCATGTGACCTGGGTTTCCACACAAACTCAGATACTCATAGTGAACTGCTGATGAGCAATCTCCAAACCAAGAATTATTCGGTGAATAATTTTGAATAAATACATCCGAGAAACTGATTTCCTCATGGACAAATCAAAACCAAAGAGACTAAATTAACTAATCAGTATAAATTATTTGCTCAGCTCTAGATATTATAGGTGGGATTCTCTGCTGCACTTTGAGGCACAACACAGGGGGAGGGGAGCTAACATAGCTTTAAGCCCCACCTTGCGCCTCCTGATCCTGACCTCCACAAACCCCCGGCTGCAACATGCACAGGCCTGTCTAAATTACAGCAACCTCCCTGGACTGCCCTATGGGAAGCAGCACTGCCAGGAATCTCCACAGTGCTGTGTATTGTGGCTCAACACCCCTCCCACTGCCAGCATGCCCCCTATGCCAGAAGAATACTCCCCCAGCTATAGAGAGGACTTTTTAGGGGCCCCTTTCACCACTCTAGGGTTTTTATTTGGCAGCAAGTGAGCAAAGTGGGGATGAAGCTCTCACCCAAAGCCTTTCAACTGAATGTCTGTAATTCAAATCCAGCTAAAATCCGTAATAACCAAAAGTGGCTCATATCCCATTGCTCTTACAGCTGTCAGTTGGATTCGCAGTCTAATATCCACTTCAATAAAAACCTCCCACAACTGGCATCAATTTGCAGCCTTCTTGGCAATCTCAGAACTGAACTAGCTTCTGCTGCCTAAAGAGAACCCCATCCTCTGAGATCATAGTTCAGGCACATTGGCGGGATAGAGTAGGGACACTTTTCAGCATCTGTTTCGTAGACACAGGACTTCAGTCTCTAGCACTTTCCTTGAGCACCACATTCACTTGAAAAGTTTAACATTCCACGGGGAGAATTTTAAAGGTACACATTTTAAATGTTAGGCACCTAATTACTTATTTGTGCACTTAAAACTTTGCCCATAGAATGATTTTCTAAAAAGGAATTCCTATTTAATGCTTCCTGGTGAATATTTACAGCATATGCACAGCAAGAAGAGTTTTCAGCATTAACCAATGCACTGAGCAAAAAAGCTAAGCAGTTTTCTTTCCATAATATGTATTGGTAAGTCAACAGAAAGATGATGCTGTATGTAAAATACTGTGCATGCATCAGACAAAACATTAATTTTGAACATTTAAATGGCTCGTTTTGCTTTAGATTTGCCATTTATTTTTGAGTTTGTATAGAGATTGTTATTTTTCCCACATTGGAAAGCAATCACAAAAAAGACCCGAGTCTCTCTTTAACAAATGAAGATGTAGAGATCTTGAATCCTGCATTTTCCTTTAAAAAATAGACAGACATCTATATAGCAAAATGGGCTCAACAAAACTTAGCAGTTCAAAGAATGTCTTTGCTGGAGAAGGCAGTGGGTATAAGCCCCAAAATTAAATTCCTTGACAAATCATTTGAAGTGTGTTTTAAAAATTCAGCCCACACTTTTAGTGCTGTTAAAATTAGGATCTATGCCTCAGAGCCGGCTCCCATTAAAGTTGGTAGTGTCCATTTTGGCAGCCTCAGTTTTTAGGAGCCCAACTTGACACACTTTTCGGGGGCCTGATTTTCAGTATTGCTGCGTACCTGCCCTCTGAAAATCAGGGGTCAGCTTGGGCCCCCACATTCACTAGTTGCTTCTGACAACATAAGCTGGTGGGAGTGTTCCCTCATTATAGCGTTTGTGTCATTTTTTGGCTAAGGGCCTGATCCAAAGCTCAACCCTACAAACTGAATGCCCTATTCCCGGGGTCGGCAACGTTTGGCACGCGGCTCGCCAGGGTAAGCACCCTGGCGGGCCGGGCCAGTTTTATTTACCTGCTGACGCGGCAGGTTCAGCCGATCGTGGCCCCCACTGGTCACGGTTCGCCGTCCCGGGCCAATGGGGGCGGCAAGAAGCCGTGGCCAGCACATCGCTCGCCAGCGCTGCTTCTCGCCGCCCCCATTGGCCCAGGACGGCGAACTGCGGCCAGTGGGGGCCGCGATCGGCCGATTCTGCCGCGTCAGCAGGTAAATAAAACTGGCCCGGCCCGAGCCGCGTACCGAACGTTGCCGACCCCTGTCCTATGTACACACTTCAGTGGGAGTTAAGGTCCCTCAACATCTCACAGGCTGGAGTGAGCCCTATAGACATTTTACTGTTTTTAAATGGGTCACTGAGTAAGAGTATATTCATGATAAGGCATGTTTTTAAAAAAAAAAAAAAAAAGACCATGTACTCATCTATTTGCTACATAGAATACCTTGGAGGATCACAGACATTTTGCAGAATTAAGCAAAATCTTTAGACACAGCCTCTACAAAGTTTGGTGCGGACATTAAAATGCCGATCGTACAAATGATTGTGAAGACAGAAAAGGCCATCAAGCAGAGACGGTCTACCACAGAGGCTGCAAACTTCCATTCATTGCAAATGGCTTCCTCCTCGTCCTGGTCTCTGAATCGGTTTGCAATATAGCGGACCTCCTCCAAGATCTTAGCCAAATCTGGGTCACCTTCAGAGGGGTGTCCACTGTGCAGGAGAGTCTCTTCTTCTGTGGGCGAGCAGGTCATCCTCCCACAAATTACCCCAGAATCAGTGGTCGGAGTGCAATGGACCCCTTCCAGCCCCCGGAACCCAATATAGAGCATATTCCCATTACTGGCTTGTTGCCCACTCACAGTGTTCATATCCACACTTGACAAGCTACATCGACGCTGCTTATGCTGACAGGCAGGGCGTACTTTATCCTCCCCTGGTCTCTTCATCCTCAGGAACCAGGCACACCAGTTCAGAAGGATGATTCTTGTCTGGAAGAAGATTGAGAAGTAAAACATCTTTATAAACAGAAAGACTGATCGTCATCAATACCTATTTGTATTGTAGAGCCCTGGTGCTCTCTGCTCCCCATAGGTGCGGTGGGTGCTGCCACACGCCCTGGCTTGAAGTGGTTTCCATTATATACAGGGTTTATTACAATTTGACTAAATGGCTCTCAGCACTTCCACTATAAAAACTGTGTTCCAGCACCCCTGTGCTCCCTGGTCTCTATTTGCTGATCTTGCCTGGTAGCCTAGTGGTGACGTCATAATTGTCCTACAGTCACTCTCAGCCATTGAGTCCACTGTCCCACTCCCAGCAGTGCTGCTAATGGCCATATGTAACTGTCAAATTATTACTGCTGTGGGCTGGTCTGACAGGTATCTCAGTAATGTTGATTTTTTTACCACATTCATGTCAGAGCAGTGACATGACAAACTTTGCTGTTTTTAAATTGAAACTATGGACTTTCCTTTTGTTAGAAAACAATTATTTTCAATGAGACTCGAAATATTTTATTTATTACCTCAAGTATAAAGCAAAACTAAGTGTTACAAACAGAAATAAGAGTGAAAGAAAAGCAGTGCTTTTTGGAGGCAGTTGCTAAAAATATGCCATACTAATTGGATTGGATTGCTATATTTTACAGTGTTTTTACTATACTCGCACTCAACCCTTTTATGAAGCTGATTGCAAACTGTATAAAACAGATCTGCATATACCACAGAGCACAGATGGAAAAGAAAAGTCCTTGGTAAAAAAAGATTAGTTTCATTCCAGTTGCAAATCAAATCACTAGGTTTCATTTTATTGTTTTTTGCACTGCTGTTCTCTAGCAGCCCTACAAAAAGGACAGATGAGTCCAAGAATGTTCCAGTTCAAATTCAGGCTTCCAAAATTCAGCTCAATCAGGATTTCAAAAAGTAATTCCAGTGTTTCTTTTTCCTAGTCATAATGTCATTTCATTGTTTCAAACCACATGTAACTCTTGCAATGTAATTTATATTGGATTTAGTCCATTTGTTATGATTTTAGAATGCCACTTAGAGTAGATATACTCCTGATGACATTTTGAGGATAAATGTTTTTGCTAAAGACAGATTTCACATGCCCTTGTCTTCATATTTCCCCCCCACTAATGTAATTCAGCTAAAAAAATAGACCACCTTTATTAACCCAAGGCCTGATCCAAAAGCCTATTGACTCCTACTGAGTTTAAATGGGCTTTTGATCAGGTCTTCAGTGCCAAGTCTTGCTTATTTTACATGAGTATTCCAACTGATTCCAGTAGGAATATTTATGCAAATGCAGTTATCAAGATTTGGTTTTCTAACTCACACTGCATTGGTCTATACATAATCAGTTCTATTTTTGCATTGACTGATACTTAACCAGTTCTCTTTCAATTTAATTTCCAATGCCACCACCTAACTGTCTATAGTGTAAGCTCTTTCGGGCTGGGAATATCTAATGTCTGTAAGGCACTGGGGCCTGGGACTGTATGAAGTAGTGATCACTCATTCCTGCCTAAAATCTAAGGAGAGTACTTTCCACCTTTCACCTGATGCTGCAGGATGCAAGGTAAAATATATGGGAATTGAGAATGCACCTTTCCCTTTGCAATACCAATCTATGCAGGACTCATAGGGTATGTCCACACAGCAATTAAACACCCACAGCTGACCCGTGTCAACTGACTGGGGTTCGTAAAATTGGGTTGTAGACATTCAGGCTCAAGCTAGACCCCGGGCTCTGGGGTTTAGACATACCCTTAGCATGATCTCATCAATATTCAGTTACTGTGCAAGATTCTAGTTCTCAGCCATGCTATGATAGTGCTTTACATAAAAACAATAATTCATAGTACTAGCTCATGAAGATGGCATTATACTTCAGGGAGAGTGGAATATGACAGAGATACTAACTTTTCATTTGTACTTGATATAGTCCCCTGGCTTGGTAAAGTCAGTATATAACTCATAGAAAGCTCAAAAATTTTTGCTTCCACCTTAACATACCTCTCTAAAAGATGGTCACAGCTGCAGCTGTTCACAAGTAAACAATACTTAAATCTATAGCAGCTGCTGTAATGAAATGAATGTGTTCTTATTGGACACAGTACTTCATGTTCTAGGGGTTTTAGCTGTATCACAGGAAATTCTTAAGATAGAAACAAGATGACTATCTTAGTTCTTGCAAGTGTTTCCCTCTTACTGAAAAATGAGAGGCCCACAAAAGGAAACGTATGTGGACATTTTTGCTCAGCTGTTTAAGCTTCGGAGGGTGTGGGGGGGGGAGAAGGGCATCAAGAAGTAATGGGTCACCTACCACTATGACACATCTCTAATCTGAAAATGTATATAGTGAAAAAGTAGATATAAATGAACTGGAATCAGACCTTACCCACTTTGGCATTTTTCCCCCATCTGGGTCATGATGGTGATATTGCAGAACAATAACAGTGACAACAACAGAAAGGCCAACAATAATCATGGTGCTGGCAAAATACTGAGCTGCAAAAATAAATACATAATTAAGATATGTAAAATTATAGTGATATGCAGTGCTTCATACATCTATTATTGTGTGAATGCATACACCTACATAAATAGGTACTAATCTGAAGGAACACAGTTAACATGGAAAACAAATCTGATTCTACATGAGCTACTTTTTATTGCATTTGGGAGAGATTTTTTCAAAAGCAGAAAGAGTAGTCAGGCTCCCATCTCTCACTGATTTTTCAATGGGAGTTGGCAACTGTTATGTTCACAGCATATACATAGGGAAAATAGATAAAAGAATTAAATATTCATCCTGTAAAGTTGCAACATAACACTGCTTTATTTCTTAGCATCCAGAACCTAACACCCAAGAACCAAAACCAGAGAGCGACAAAACAGTCTGCTCCCTAAGAAAGAGAGGCAGAACTTAGCCCACTTAGCCCACTGACATAAGACACATATCAGACTCTTCCTTACAGAGCCCCCTACCTTGCAAACAGGACCAGGAAACCCCATGCCTATTTAAAGTGATAATGTGTAATTTTAACAGTTTTTAATACAACATAAGCACCTGACTCTTTTTAGTGCCTTTGAAAATCTCCCCTTTCGTTATTGTTATCATTATTAGTTAGTTGGTTAATATCAGAGAGAGTGGTTGGGGTTTTCTGCTTATATATCAATTGCCATGTGGAGGAATTGTAATGGAAAATTCCCTCCCCCTTCCAGAGTATATTTCAATCTGCTGTTTTATAGAGCCCTCGCTTACTGTGTTCCAAGATGCAACAACTGCATACTCCAAAGGAAATTCTTTGGCATTATCCCCAGCAACATCCCATTTGTTTTCTTTATTATGCTCCAGATCTTCCAGCAGACCAGAGACAACCCCCCACAAGAGGACCCTGCTTATGACAAACTTCATTGGATGCCAAGGTAGTAAGAGAGGGAACTATTATGAGGCTTGAGTAGGTGGGAGGCCTGCAGTGACTAAACACTTCAGCGAGCCCCTGTGGGCACCCTGCCCACTCTGCAGTGTTTCCTACGCCCAAGTGTTTTCTCACCCAAATGTCCCTATGTGACCCCCACTGCACCTTTGTCCTCCCCCAGTGTATCCCAGCACATGTTCCACAACCATTCCCATTGTCCCCATAGTGTGCTCCCTATCTTCCTCCCAATATAAGTTCCCCCAGAACAGGGGTGGGCAAAATTTTGGGGCCAAGGGCCACATCTGGGTGGGGAAATTGTATGCAGGGCCGGGGCAGGGGGTTGGGGTGCAGGGTGTGGTGTGCAGGAAGGGGTTCAGGGCAAGGGATTGGGGCAGAGCAGGGGTGCGAGGTATATGAGGGGGTTCAGGGCAGGGGGTTGAAGTGCAGGAGGGGTGTGGGGTGCGGCAGGGGGTTCAGGGGTGCAGGTGCAGCAGGGAGCTCAGGGCAGGGGGTTGGGGTGCAGGAGGGGTGCAAGGTGCAGGCAGGGGGCTTAGGGCAGGGAGTTGGGGTGTGGGGCTCCCTGCATGCCTGCCCTGGCCCCAGCCCTGGCCCTGGCCCCATGCTGCTCCCGGAAGCGCTGCAGCCACTGGGGAAGGGGGGGGGCGGAGGGCTCTGCGTGCATTGCCCTTGCTGTGCCTCCAGGTACCTCCCCCGAAGCTTCCATTGGCCGCGGTTCCCCGTTCCCGGCCAATGGGAGCTGCGGGGGGCAGTGCCTGGAGGCAAGGGCAACGCATGGAGGCCTCTGCCCCCCTGCCTGGGGGCCGCAGGGATGTGGTGCCAGCGGCGCCGCAGGCTGAATCCAAAGCCCTGAGGGGCCAGATCCAGCCCGCAGGCCGTAGTTTACCCACCCCTGCCCCAGAAGGAGGTGCTGAGCAGCCTCGATTCCCACTGAAATCATTGCTCTGCACCATGCAGGATCAGACTAAACATCTCTAATTCAACTGCTGTAAGCACACAAATCATACACTTTCTAAATGTGCCTTATTTTTGGCTTTGAAGTGATTTAATTCCAACTTGTCTGATTAAAAAAAGAGAGAGAGAGAGAGAGGGAGAATAAGTTAAGGTTACCTATTAACGGCACAGAATCTGATGTTGCTGGCATAATTTCTGCCACAAGTAGCATAAAGACAGTAAGAGACAATAAAACTGTTATACCTGAAAGATATATATGAAGTACAGAATTAGGACAGCAGTTTATCAGGTAATTGCTATCCACTAAAGAACAGATTTGAAGAAATGCTGTGTGAAATTTATTCTCACAATCATACCTTTACACTGATTTACTGATTGTACTCAATCCTGTTCTCTTTTGATACTACTTTAAAAATTCCCATTTTAGAGGGTAGAAATCTTGCCAAACTAGTTTAATTTTTTCTAAATTTGTGCTTTTAATAAATCTAATACAAAAGCCTTCATGATTAGGTCCCAATTTTTGTGCACTTGTACAAATGTAGGAGCTGGATCCAATACACCTCTACCCCGATATAACGCGACCCGATATAACACGAATTCTGATATAACGCGGTAAAGCAGTGCTCTGGGGGAGGGCGGGGCTGTGCACTCCGGCGGATCAAAGCAAGTTCGATATAACACGGTTTCACCTATAACGCAGTAAGATTTTTTGGCTCCCGAAGACAGCGTTATATAGAGGTAGAGGTGTAATTTATTTTTGGCCTTGTTAAACCTTGCTATACTAATAAAGCACTGTTCACTTTGCATCACTGTCCAAGGGATTTGATAAAATATGACAAATTAAAGTACTCCTTGTTTTATGTTCCATCACCCCTTTAGAAAAGTTCACGAGGGAGTCTTTTGTTTTGAGCTTTCAATAACTTGATACAGTATGTGATGTACTGATCAATAAGTTTGGAAGACATGAAGCTAAAAAGTACAGTAGTTAATCCCAGAAAACAGAAATTGCCCTGGGAGAGAGACGGATGTTCTCTCTGAAATTAGCTGTTGATCTCTGAGAGTTGCTTGCTCTAAGCAGTTCTGATACTGATTTCTGGATTTTGATTTTTGTTGCTCACTGATCTGCCCCTCTGAATATGACTCAGCTGTTTTCCTGATGGGATCTCAGGACTAGATTTGCACAGAGGGAACCACTGTCAGTTGGAAAGGGACTGAAGGACAGGAGAGCACATCCTAAAAATACAGAGGGTAGTCAGAAGTCAAGGGCTAAGGAAGCTGTTCTGAAATCCAAGAGAAACATACACTAAACATTAAAACAGCACTTGTGCAGAGATGCCCAGTTTATATTCTGTCTTTTGAACAACCATTTTCATTAAATAGAAATGAATACATTTGTTACGTCATACCTTAACTATCATCACACAATCCAACATTTAGCCATAAATTTACAAAAAGAAGATAGCCTTACCACTAAAATATTTAAATGGAAGGAGCCCAACTTTTTCAAAAGGATGCAAAGGGTGACTCCTGGCTCTTAATGTATCACTTACTAGTAAGAGGAATATAAACTGAAAATAATGCCAGACTAAAATGCCAATATACATGTTCTTTACAACATAACCTTTGTTCAGTGAAATTATTTTTTCCTTCCAGCACATAAGTGTCAAACAGTAGCGCTATTTGTAATACAGAATTATACAGCTAAACATTGTAATGCTACTGGTACGTTTTTGTTGTTTATGTAACGCCTAGCTCCACCCTAACTAGTAGTATGACCTTTTCTTTCATATCTTTGCTAAGACACCACCGTAAGATATGCTTTAGAAACACCTACATATATTTATTAGATAGAAATGCAGCAAGACAGACAAACTTTTCCCCTGAGCATGCTGAGGCTATCTAGCTACACTGAAATCAGAAGCCTTTTATAGAGCCAACTTTTAAAATACTTGGTAATGTGTTTACCTAGTGAGATCTTCTCTCCTGAGTCAGCCGGAAGCAGAAAAACTAATAGGGCAAGTGCCGATATCAGCATGCAAGGAATGAGAAGATTGAGTCCATAATACAAAGTCCTACGTCTCATAGTCACTGTGAATGTCACATCTGGGTAAGGTTCTTTACAACAGTCATAAAAACTCTCACTCCTCTTTCCAGGAACTCCTGCATAGAAAAAAAAACAGGGAGAAAAACAGAAGCTAATCTGCATATAACCTATGTTAATGTAGAAGTTACATTTAGACAAAAGTCTCCAAATATCATCTCTGAAGTCCCACAGCAGGTAAAATGTTCCTCTTTAATTCTAATTCTCCTCTCTGTTACATGACCAAAATTAGGTAATAAAGAATCTGAGTCAAAAAGGTTTTCAATGAACTTGCAATGATCAGAGTTCTCTCAATGCCTCCACCTTCTCCATATGTTCTTCACCTTTTATCTTTTTTTCCACCACATTTCAAATGCCACTGTCTCAGACCTTCATAGCGTATACCAATCCACGGCTTGGTGATCCTAACCTATAGCTTCTTTTTTCTGATATTTACAAAGAATGCTGGTTCATATGTCTGCCAAGGATCTGTTAGGTCAATGGACTGATGGATCAGCATGCATTTGCACTGGTACTTGCTACCTGAGCTGTGTACATTTTTACTATCTGAAAAAAAAAAAGACAGGGGGCCTGATCATCATTTACACAAAAACCCTTTTATACTGATCTACCTTTCCATCCCCTTTAAAGCCCCTTTACACTCCCAAAGTACAGAGTATAAATGAAAATCAGGTCCAAGGAGCTTACCTACTAGATCCCACTCTCCATTTGAAATGTATCCAGATATATCTGCTTCTTGCATTTGTAAGTCCAAGGACCATCCACCATAGGTCCAGGATCCAAACTTCAGATTACACTTCTGAACATCAAATGGAAACCAGCGCACATCTATGTAGCATGAGCTCTTGAATATGCCTAAAGTAGAGGTTAAAAAGAACAAAAAAAATCAATAGAAATTCTTGCTTCACGTACTATTTCATCTGTTTTTGTAACTGATCCCTGTTACACACTGCAGCTGTCCAGTACTTACTCTGAGGGTATGTCTACACAGCAAAGAAAAATCCGCAGCTGGCCTGTGCCAGCCGACTTGGGCTCGCAGGGCTGCAGCTCAAGCCCAGAAGCGTACACAGCAATGGAACAGCCCCATAATCTGAGCCATGTAAGCCTGAATCAGCTGCCATGGACCAGCCGCAGGTTTTTCTTTGCTGTGTAGACATACCGTAAAAGCACACTTAATACACGTAAGGTACATCTCAAGAAGTGAAAAGGAAGAGCATTCAAACTTACTATAGTAATAGATTTGCAGAATCTATATATTGACTATATATCCTCCTTTCATTGAATTGCATAGGTCACTTCTCTAATACCTTTTCCTGGTGTTACTATTCTCTTCATGATGTGCCTGGGCTGGGATTTCTGTTACTAAATATAATGAGAGGCCCTGCAAGATGATTTACTGTCTTTTAAGATTTACATAACATTGGCTCGTTCCTTTCAAGAAGGCTAACCTCTATTTGTTATTTGTTGGGTTTATTGTATAAAACGGTGGGCAAAGTTAAGCATGACAGATCAAGGACCCATCACTCAGCACCTTGCAAGATCAAGTCCATAAACACCAATTGGCGCTTCCTATGAGCAGAAGGGTAGGAGACTCCATGGACCATACTAAGGACCACAGTAGATTTAATTTACCTGGGAAGCACTTGGGTACTACAGGGATAGTCTCTCTATAAGACCCTAAGATAGACAAAAGAAACCTGATTCTAAGAATTATACTCTAGGGAATAGAAACAGCACCAAGTGTCCAATCAAACACTGATCACTATATTTCAAAATTTCAAATATGAAATACAAGTATTCTGAGGAATGAGTTACAGACCAAAAGAGAAAGTGTTTGGTACATCATTTCAAATAGCAAATCCATCCAAGAAATTAATAAACTACTTACTATAAGAAAGAATTCATGAACAGAGGGGCCAAATTCATGGAATAAATTATTCATGTTTAATTATTCCCTCAGCTTTAGGAAAAAATATTCTTTGTCTGTTAAAAGGTCATATCATTTTTATTTCTATTCATAATTCCAGACTTCTGAAATCATAAATTGATAATAGGAAATGGGGCTAAACCAGTGATATGACAGAGGATTTACATCATTGCAATTGATCATTTATTTGTATATGGTGGTATCCATGCAAGAATGTGTTCTTAAATGATGCATGCATAGGTACATATATGTAGTTTATATAGTTTTAAATCTAGCAAACAGGTACTATCTGGATTTATATGTACACCGCTACCTCGATATAACGCGACCCGATATAACACGAATTCGGATATAACGTGGTAAAACAGTGCTCCGAGGGGGCGGGGCTGCGCACTCCGGTGGATCAAAAGCAAGTTCAATATAACACGGTTTCACCTATAACGCAGTAAGATTTTTTGGCTCCCGAGGACTGCGTTATATCGAGGTAGAGGTGTAGTATGAAAGAGTTTTTATCCAAACTATGAGATGACTTCATATATGAGTAGGCAAGAGCTATTACATGAAAACAATCTATTTCTTACCTGGGGGCAGGTATTGGCAGTGTCCTGAAGAATTGACTAAAACATTGGTATGAAACGTCGCATCAAATCGCTCATCAGCACTAGAATGGGAGGGAAGAAGAGCTGAATTACACTCTGATGGAATCAATGAGGTCTTAAAGAATTGCAGTATTCTTACAAAATGTGGATTTCCCCACCCCCCAAAACCAAAAACCTCTTGATTGTTTTCTCCTCTAACTCCAACTTTATCCCAATGTCGTGTACCTGACTTCAGTGGAGTTGCTCCTGATAAACACAGCTGTAAATCAGCAGTTAATGGTCTCATTTGCGCGCTCTCTGATCAACTGGTCTATAATCTAAGATTAGATTAATTACAATGGCATCGCTGATTGGTTTCAATTTGCGAAATAAACCCTTCCCAAAAATCCTAGAGGAGAGAGCTGGCCTCCTCTTGTTGCCAGCAGCATATAACTTTCATTAGCATTAAGAGGAGTTAATGAACATTGAGAGGATTTATGACCAATTTCTCCTCCTTGCCTGCCCCCAATACGGCCAATTATTTTTGCTCAGTGAAAAGACTATTTAATATAGCTTAAAGCCTGGTCAATCCCCACTGACATCAACAGGCGTCTTCCATTCACCTCTGTGGACACCAGATCAAACTCTGAGTATTTAACTCAGAATTGACAAATCAGGAGGCTGGTAAACTAAAATCAGCCCTTATTATTGTTTCCGTTTTTAATCTAATAGTGCTATGAAATAATATTACTATTAGTGCTGTTTGTAATGCCTTAGAACAGAGATCATCAACCGGTCGATTGCGATCGACTGGTCGATCCTGGAGCTTCTGCCAGTTGATTGTGATCTCCTGCTGCTAAAAGTCTGGTGGCGCAGCGGGGCTCAGGCAGGCTCCCTGCCTGCCCTGGCCATGCGCCGCTCCCAGAAGCGGCCAGCACGCCCCTGAGGCCCCAGGGAAGTGGGGAGGCAGGGGTCTCCCTCTGCATGCTGCTCCTGCCTGCAAGCACCCCCACACACACACACACAGCTCCCATTGGTCAGGAATGGGGAACTGCGGCCAATGGGAGCTGCAGGGGGCAATGCCTGCAGAGAGGGGCAGCATGCGGAGCCATGGGCTGCATGGGCATGATGGCCGCTGCTGGGAGTGGTGTGGGGCCGGGGCAGGCAGGAAGCCTGCCTTAGCCTTGCTGCACTGCTGACCAGGAGCCATCCGAGGAAAGTGCCTCCCAGGAGGAGCCCGCACCCCAACCTTCAGCCCTGAGCCCCCTCCCAGAGCCAGCACCCCATACCCCCACCTGCAGCCCAACACTCTGCCCCAGCCTGGAGCCCCCTCCTGCACCCAAACTCCCTCCCACAGGCTTGCACCCCAACCTCCTCCCACACTCTGAAACCCTCGTCCCCCATGATATTTCCAGATGTTTGGGATGCTCCAGTGACAAGGTCTGTAAAAGTACCACCTGAATGGAACATCTTACAAGGGTTTGGGGTGAGACTTTCCTATTGCCAGTGTCCCACGAGGGATTCTTTTGTTCTATATATGTGCAGTACCATAGTACTCTGCTGGTAAGTAACCCTAAGCCTAAGTAACATTCACCGCTCGATTAAACCAAAATCACCCCATTTGGGTAAGAATTTTTGCCACTATCAAAAACAAACCAGAAGCTTGGTGTAGACGGCTTGGGTATAGGGTCTCCTAGCTGTGGACCTGCACCTGAGAAAATCCCAGAAAATACAGGTGAAATTAGCCTGGGCCATGAGGAAATGCTGCCAGCCCCTCTCAAGACACTGAAAATAGGTGACAGCACCCTCAGTCATCTGTCTCCATGGCACAGTCTGTGCTTTAGCTGATCAAGAAACCCACGTTGTCTACAGGATGGTTTGAACTTGACGAGGCTCCGCTCTCCCTGCCTATTAGCAGTTTAGATTCTTCTCAACTTCAAAAACAGCATCAGCAGAGTAGGCTTTGGATCTGAGCTAGGGTGAAGGTACAATATTCATGAGCCAGAAGGATAAGAGGCATTGTCAGCGAGTTCAGATGCAGAATTAGGGAGGGCTGTGGATTGAGGGGTGTTAAGGAGGACTAGGGTGGATAAGGAGTATTAGGAAAGGGTTTGAGTCTAAAGGACTCCAACACAGCAAATTCTCCATAATTGAAACTGAGGGTGAGAGGAAGCTGTGCGCCCTTCTAGCACAGACCCACCAATCAATACTAAGAAGCTGCCTTTATTGCATGCATTGTTTTTAACCAATCTGTCTGCTAAAAGGCAAAACAGAATTATTTTGTATATACCATAGATCGAAGCATTGATTTTGTAGACAGTGCTGCAATTTAGGTCAGATATTCCAGTGAGGATTGGTAATTGCATTGATATATTTTTGAATACTGTAACTCAGTGCAGTCATGGAACAAGGCAAGAAGTGTTTGATTAATAGCTAGATATACTCAAACCACTGTATGCTTCGTAATAATTAATATATTTAAAAAAACTAATTCTGAATAATTTGCAAAACAGAGAAAAGAGCCAGATCTGCAAGAGTAATTTGACCAATTGTAGTTACATTGTTTCAAGTTATGAACAGAAAGTTTACATATTAAGCAATGCAGTTGTCAGTGTCTCTGAAACAAATTAACGTGAAGTCTGAAGACAGGAACAGAGCTAAATTTTGCAACTGTGATGTGCATGGATATTGGTTAGAGAATGTGTTTTCAGAGAAATGAAAGCAGAAGATGCAACTCATTCACTTTAAAAGAAAAAAGGCCCAGTTCTGCACCCCCTACTTACATTAAATACTTACTCATGCAAGTAAATGCACTGACACCAGTAAGGGGTGCTGGCTGAGGCCCAAACTAATTAGAGTTAAAAACAAACATAATGCTGTGTAACATGAGTGGGGACACTGAGGTACATAAAGGAATATTAATGTACTGGGCCAGATTCTAGCCCGCTCCGCCCCCTACACCTCCCCCGAGAGGCTAAGCCATGCACCACACAGTTATTCCTGAGGATCTTAGCCTGCCCCTCTCCCCCCGATTTCTGGGAATTTTGCATAGAGTAAAATTTTCCAAAGCATCAAAGTGACTTAGGCGCTTAGTCCCATTTTCAAAAGAGACTTGGGTGCAGAATTCTAACTGAAAATCATCAGTAGGATTTAGACCTCTTACTGCTTTTTAGAAATGGGACTAAGGCACATTTGAAAATTCTACCCATAGTCTAGATTTTTAATTGCTTTTTGAAGTGCAATGCTTCAAATTGAGATAGTTAGCTACCATGTTTTTCCTAATGAAGCTTTAGAACTTCATCACAGGGTATCATCATGATATGGATATAATAATATGTTCACATAGAGGGGAGCAGAAGAATCGGACAGTTTTTTAAGAGGTGCAGATACTGATTGGTATAAATTGAGATGAAACAGCTCTTGGCTTAAACACAAGGGCAGTTCTGACATGGAGGCATCTCCTCAGAAAACGAATAAATGTAATGCAGCGTAAAACTGTGGTGCACATTCCAGTGATGGGCTCCTAGGCAGCAGGCAAATGGCTAAAGAGCATACCCACATGCCACTGCCTTTTAAGGTACTATGTAAATTATCAGCTGCATTCACTGGCAGCCACTGATGAGCAAGGAAAGGAACTTTCCAAAGTGGCTTTAGTTTGCATGTACGTGCAGCTAAAATAGAATACCAGGACTCGAGATCTACCACTGCTCAAACACAGGTCTCCTATTCGTACAGCAGACAGAGTTGGACTTAACGATAAATATGCTATTTATCATTGCAAAAGGAAGTAAGTATGCCAATGTAATTACTACATTCACCCCTCCATATTGGGACTGCAACACATACTCCGTGCGGTAGGCCTGCCCCACAGATGGCCATCCTTGGAGTAAGTGTGAAGGCGAAAAACTCTTGCTGCATGCAAGGGAGCTTGACTCCATACCAGCTCTGCCCAGGAGACTGGGGGACGAGGGGAAGTTGGTAGTATCCTAAAGAAGGAGACGGGGGCTGTACTCAAACTCATGAAGGAGACGTGCATGAACCAAGGTCTGCAGTAGCAGTCATGGTGAAGCTGTGAAGCTGCCAATAGTGTGCCACTGAGGTGATTTGGATTTTCTCTCCCCCTAACCCCTCACATAGTTGACTATATATTAAAATGTATTTTGTATCCTGAAAGCAGATGGTGAAAGTCTACAGAATAAAAAATTATCACAGAGTAAAAAAAACTAAATTGTGGTTATGAGGCTTAATTAACATGGAATGATGAAAATACTGAAGTCAGAACATTGTAGCTGGAAAATGATAATATCACTAAGATGGGTGTTACAGTCTATACCATCATGTTCACCATTTTTGCAATACTGTACTATGATAAATTTGCACAAAGTCTGCCTTGGGTTGATGTACAGTAAAACCTCAGAGTTACGAACTGACCAGTCAACCATACACCTCATTTGGAACCAGAAGTACACACTCACACAGCAGAGACCCAAAAAAGGGCAACTATAGTATTGTGTTAAACGTAAAACTACTAACAAATTAAAGGAAAGCTGCATTTTTCTTCTGCATAGTAAAGTTTCAAAGCTGTATTAGGTCAATATTCAGTTGTATACTTGTGAAAGAACAACCATACCGTTTTTGTTCAGACTTACAAACATTTCAGAGTGATGAACACCCTCCATTCCCAAGGTATTCATAACTCTGAGGTTCTACTGTAGAAGTTTTAAAGAGAAATGAAGGTTTGCAGCTACTATTAATAAACTGGCAAAGATTATATACAAAGGCACAGTGGGCTGATAGTAAAGTTTACGGTAACTGCAGTGGGCTTCCCTCCATTAGAATACAGCTACCAGTCAACATAAGTAAGGCTTGGGGAAATGGTTAAATATAAGAATAAATCAAAGTGAAGAAGCAGTCTAATATCTATGGCTTTAAATTTGCAGTTACAGCTACAAGTCCATATATAAGTCAACAGGAAATGAAAGTGCCTGTTTCAAAATACCATGCAATTATATGAGACAGTTGTGAGAAGACAATTATGCTACGCTAGTCACAATGGAAAAATTACACAAGAATACGGATTCCT